TAATAATAATAATAATAATAATAATAATAATAATAATAATAATAATAATAATAATAATAATAATAATAATAATAATAAAAGAATGACTCCCAAATGGAAGGCTGACTCTCACATTGGGAAAAAGAAGGCTGTGTGATTGGAACTGTGCTTGGAATGTGTTGACCAGAGCTGCAGAAGTGTGGTCTCCCCAGTGAAGTCTAAAGCAGCACCGTCACATCACGTGTGTCAACGCAATTCCTAGTTGGGGAAGAGTTTCATCTGTTGGAACCATGACAACCATGATCTTGAAACTCTTCCTTTGTTGATGCAACCTAGGACTGCATTGGCTTGCTCTGCAGCTGCAGCACACGGCTGGCTCCTACCTAATTTATTTATTATTATTATTATTATTTATTATTTAAATTTATATACCGCCCTATCTCCCTTACGGGACTCAGGGCGGTGAACAGGCAATAATAAAAATCACAATAAATATTGAATAAAAATACTCATATACTCACCGCGGGCAGAGCGAAGAACGAGATTGCAAACACGGAGAAGCAGGAAGCGATTGTCTTGCCAATCCACGTCTGGGGCACTTTATCCCCGTAGCCAATAGTGGTCACTGTCACCTACACAGCAGAGAAGAAAAAAGGAGTATAATTTGCCTGGAATATAAATGCATTAGGATTTGGTTTCCAGTGGCTACGAATCTTAATTCCTACTGCAGAGTTTTCAGATCTAAGTGTAGACCTGAATGATTTTTGGAAATATTTTTACCTTCATCCACTGCTGACATGACAAGAGTATTTACTACGGACCGCTCCTTTACTTTTCAATTTTAAAACAATTATCTGCCGATAATTTTATTTAGGGAGAACAATTTCTCAGGACAGTACGTTGCAGCTATTCAGTTCCAAAGTGAAAATATACTGGCCATGTTGCGAAGGAGAACTCTCAGATGAGCTAAGAAATCAGAGAATCACTGGGCTGGACAGGACCTTGGACTCCAGTTTCTAGCCTGATTCCTTAATCACTAAATTAAACTGGCTCTCTTTTTTTTAAAAAATATGTTTTATTAATTTTTAACATAATCACCTTAGTATTCGGTAGACATAATAATAATAATGATAAAGTTGGAAGGGACGTTGGAGGTCATCTAGTCCAACCCCCTGCTCAGGCAGGAAACCCTATACCATTTCGGACAAATGGCTGTCCAGTCTCTTCTTAAAAACCTCCAGTGTTGGAGCATTCACCGCTTCTGGAGGCAAGGAGTTCCACTGGTTAATTGTTCTAACTGTCAGGAAGTTTCTCCTTAGTTCTAGGTTGCTTCTCTCCTTGATGAGTTTCCACCCGTTGCTTCTTGTCCTGCCTTCAGGCGCCTTGGAGAATAGCTTGACTCCCTCTTCTTTGGGGCAGCCCCTGAGATATTGGAATGCTGCTATCATGTCCCCCCTCGTCCTTCTCTTCGTTAAACTAGACATCCCCAATTCCAGCAGCCGTTCCTTATATGTTTTAGCCTCCAGTCCCCTGATCCTCTTTGTTGCTCTTCTCTGTACTCTTTCTAGAGTCTCAGCATCTTTTTTACATTGTGGTGACCAAAACTGGATGCAGGATTCCAAGTGTATTCCAAGACAGTATTCCAAGACAGTGCGTTGTCTGGGTTTACATTTAGCCAAGATTCACTAACAGTTAAATTCTATAATCTATAACCCACATGATAACTTTACACGATTTCCTCTTTTCCCCAGAGTGTTCTCTTTTACCAACCTTAAGTTAATACAATTCTTATTGTTTTAATAAATGATAATTAAGTACAAACGTTTTCTAATATTTCTACAAATAACAATCCCAACAATGTAGTATTCCTTTTCTATCTAGTCATTCTGGTTGTCTCATCATAGATCCTGTTTACAGTTCTTGTTTACATTTGTTTTTCCCACAGTGTTCTAAACAGTTTTACTGGTTAGGATTTTCTCAGAGTTAATTACATTTAAATATTTAAATCTATTTTTTTCTCATGTAAACCAACCCAATCCTTTTACCTTTCTTAAGGAATAAATAAAACTAAAAAGAGGAAGAAGAAGAATGAGAATAAGAATAAAATAAAAAAAAATACTATACTACTTAAAATCCCTATTTCCTATCAAACTGGCTCCCATCTTCGTAAAAATCGCCCTCTTGATTAATCAGGTTTCCGGGGACCTCACGGCTGCCACTTCTCCTTTGAGACTCTGATGCAAATAACATCTTCCTAGGGCAGTGGTTCTCAACCTTTTTAATGCCGCGACCCCCAACCGGTCGTAATTCGAGGACTAAACCGGTCGTACGTCGAGGACTACCCAACCGGTCGTAAGTCGAGGACTTTCCCTGCCCGGGAGTGCCACGCATGCGTGGTTCCGCCCCCTGCGCCGGCCGAGGCGTAGCTGGCAAGCGGCAGAGACGGAGCAGGCCGACCACCAGCTGGCCCAGCCCAAGGGAGGTAAGGCACCCGCCGGAAAAGGGGGAAAAAATGGCAGACAGCCTTGCTTGGCGACCCCCGTGAAATGGTCGATCGACCCCAAATGGGGTCGCGACCCACAGGTTGAGAACCGCTGTCCTAGGGTATCCAGAGAAGAAGGCTTACCACTCCCCACCAGAGAGCATCGGCGTAGCTGGAGAATCCAGTCTGCCCCTCTTCATCCACCGCATCTTTCTCAGCAAGGTAGACAAAATAGGATGAGAAGATTAGGCCCAAGAAGCCGATGTACAGGGTAGTTATGAGTTCCTAAGAAAAACAACAATGGATCGCTTAGAGCTTGCAAGCTTGGACATAACAGCAACTGCTACTTCGAGCAATCATAGCAGTAGACCAGGTACCCTATTAGACCCTTACTATCTATCCTCCCTGGTTTGAGTTGACAGAAGTGAGAAAGAGCCTGTGGCCTAGAGGTTAATACAGCTGCCTAACATGCAAGCTGCCCAGGTTCGAATCTCAGAAGGGTATGGCTAGCTCAGTGGTTCTCAACCTTTTTAATGCCACAACCCCAACCGGTTGTAAGTCGAGGACTAAACCGGTCGTAAGTCGAGGACTAAACTGATCGTACGTCGAGGACTAAACCGGTCGTAAGTCGAGGACTAAACTGATCGTAAGTCGAGGACTAAACCGGTCGTAAGTCGAGGACTACCCAACCGGTCGTAAGTCGAGGACTTTCCCTGCCCGGGAGCGCCGCGCATGCGTGGTTCCGCCCCCTGCGCCAGCCGAGGCGTAGCTGGCAAGCGGCAGAGACGGAGCAGGCCGACCACCAGCTGGCCCAGCCCAAGGGAGGTAAGGCACCCGCCGGAA